TTTACTAATACAGCTTTGCTTTCTCCAGAAACTAAAAATTATATAAGGAAACTATTTTCAAATTACTATTAATGGATGATTGGCTAGACTTCAGCTGGGTACCTGATTTATACTAATTGATACTAATTAATTAGTATTAGTTATACTGTTTGATACTAATATCAAAGAATTAATAACTGATTTATACCAATATCAAAATATTCCAATTCTAGAGATGGTGACAACAAAATTTAGAGTTGCAGATTTGAAAATTATTTTATATAGGAGGTCAACTCCGAAGTGCCCTCAAAAAAAGGGAAAGAATAATTTGTTCCTGGTGATCTTTCTTCCCTTCCTCTCTTTGTTCCCATAATAAAGTTTCCCCATCACATCAGACTCAGATCTTTTCACATTCTAGGGCACTGGCATATTAGAAATGTGAAGCCACTCTCTCTCCTCTGAATACAATCCTGGCTTATCTCCAGTTGTAAATCTATCTGTTACTTTCTCTCTACAAGAAAATAGGTAGACAGGTTAGAGGAAAGAGGAGTAGGGAGAAACAGACCAGCTCCTAAAGAAGAAATATGTAATCCAATAGGTATTTGGATTGCTTATTATGTGAAACTCACTGATGCAAAGCTTCTGGAAATAATTTTCATCCCCAATAAAATAACCGTGTGACTTATAAATGAATACGTTGCATATCTGATGGAATTGTATTTCTAGAGGCTCATAAGTTACTCTGCTTGTGTTATCATAATGTCATGGTGTGTAATGGACTCTTCATCATAGGAATTATAAGACAGAATACATCAAATAAAATATTTCCCTAATTCTCTGATTCATGTTTCATCTGTAGTCTCCATCTGTTAGTTTCCTTGTAATGCTAAACTGATCTCAACTACTTAACAAATGTGTTATATGAATTTAGACTGACTTACCTTTCATAAACATGTCTACCACATCATGAAACATCGCAGACATATTTTACCTCTTCTCAGCATATTATTGCAAGAAGAAAAAACATTCGTATGGACTTGGCCACAACTGCAAGATTTTGTATATTTATTTACACCTCAATTTTAATAGATTTTGAAACATGTAAAAACACCAAACAAGCAATAAATAAGAATCTGTGAAAAAATATGTCATGGCCTACGGCATAAAGTTTTTATTTAATTAAAACAGAATTTTTGAAGTTATTCTAATTAAGCTTTTAATGTCTTTATATTAATAAATCGTCTTCAGTCTCATTATGTCACTCATCTCAGCATCTTGTATATTTCAAGAAGATTTTGGGACTGATTTGTGAAAATAAGTAGGCAACATACAAGGCAAAAGTTTCAAAGAACAAATTTTTTTTTCTGTCTCTAATTTGATCTTAATCCAAAAGAAGTATAAAATGATTGTCACATGCTGAAATCAAAAGTGGATCACTAATTTGGAGTCAAGCACCAACAAAATGTAAGAAAAACATTAAATAAATAAAAGACCTAATCTACTTGAAATTTCTAATATTGGAATAGCGACAAGAAGTGACCACGTTCTCAGAATACTGCCTGTCATACTTTTTGTTATTCAATGTCAGCATGGCCAGAGGATCTTTCATAGTTAACTTACATGAGGTTGTACAATTCGTTTCTGTCAAGTAATCTTTTATAGAAAAAAAAGTTGCATTAAGGAGACATATATGTGTACCTTTAACTCAGTGTAGTTTAAATCTGGTCTGACTAAACACTTGCATTTACTTAGAATATCTTGGTATACAGCATTAGGTAAATTCGGTATATATTAAAATAATACATTTTGTTTCTTTAACTGAACACTATTTTTAAGACTTTTGCCTTTGGGTTTTTTGTTTAAAAATTAACTGTTCATATTTGAAAAAAATGCCTTCCTTCTTTTCTATGACAGAGCACAGTGTACCTATTTATTATTTGAAAAAATTGTACACAATGTGGACATTACATATATTTTTACATTCCATTCACTTGCTTCTTTCCTTGTGGTTTTCTGTGTCTCTAATTGCTTTTTTTAACTAACACTTTGAAGTTTAGGAATTGTCATAATTTATGCATTTTTTTTCCTGTTCAGATATTTTAGCAGATTGCGTACCCCCACCCCCCCACAATCCCAAAAGACCCTTGCCACAATTAAGCTTTTCCTCCTGTCAGATCAGCAGGATGTCCGTAGAGGTTATTGTGGTCGGTAGTTTCCTCTTTCTTGTAAATGCCAGGTTTACACACAAAAGGTGTGCCAGAGTTAGTCTGCAAGCTTGTCCTACAAAAAGATATTATCTCTGTTTTCTTGGTAAAATCTTGTGAAACCTGTGCCCCCGCCCCCATGGGTATAAAGTTCAAAGAAATTTTCTGAAATCTTTGTTCAAAGGAAAAATTCTAGAGCCACAAATCTGAATCCTGCAGTCAAGAAACCTGCTTCCTAAAAATTCTTCAGGTGTCCAGCCTCTTCTGTCCTACTTCAATATATGCAGAGATAAACAAAGTATCTGAGAATAGACTTAAAGGCTAATCAACTTGCACTTAGAAACAGATATGACTCTCTGCAGTAACCATAGATGTCCACTTTCTAATGACCCTAGAACCTTTGTACAACATTCTGAAATCTAATCTCAATTATCCTCAAAGACTGAAATCATTTGGGATTTTTATTTCTGTTTGGGTTTCCCTGGACTAACACATGGCTGTCTACATAACAAAACTCACATGTTATTCATACAATTTATTCCTTTTCAAGCTTGTTTATAAATGGCCATTTATCCACTTCTACCATGTATCTCCTGGACAGAAATTTATTTAGTGTTGAAAATAAGTTTCAGGCTCTTTTTTCTTTCTGTGTTTTAATGAAAAATGATATTTTTTGACAGTAATCTCCATTATCATTTGGAAATATGACTCCTAAATTATTAATACAAATAAAGCACTTTGTTGTAAAACAACAGGGTACTGCACTTTGGAAGATAAATTTGTATCCCCGTAATTAAATTAGCAGGAATCTTTCAATTTATCAGCTTTCTGGACTGCAGTGGTATGAAGCATGTCAACATTATGGCATGTGCCCCACCAAGGAGCATGCAGCTTGGGGAGACTTTCATTCATTCACTGAACAAGCATTTATTTGACAATTTTGATTTTCCAGATGCTATAATCAAAACAGGCTCATGCCATTCAAATCTACTATCTGATTATCACTGGGGGTCAGAGGACCACCCACCAGGAAAAGTTTTTTTTATTGTACAGTCCATTAAGTTCCTTGGATTTCCCCCTGCCCCATCCAGAGAAAAAAGTAGGTAGTTTTGTCCTATACCCTGTGTAGTAACCAATGGGATAATGTAATTCTGTGACATATAGAAATTTTTATAATGGGGTATAGAATAGGTTTTCCCCATCTTTTTAAGAAAATCTTGATTACTGAAACCATCCTGAATTATATGAGCACTTTCAGCAGATTTTTATCTTCTGACTCAATTTGACATGGTGACTTAAAGTGATTGTTCCTGATTGACCCAAGCTGGTATATACACATATGTAAATCTAATAGATATATCATACATGTTAAAATTAATAATTTTCCAAATGCCTACTTAAACACAAAGAAAAATGCCATTTCTATAAGAAGTATAAATAAATCTCAAACACTGAAGAACTAGAAAGCAATGAACTATAAATTAAAATCTTCACAAGAAAATGTTAATGAGTTTATAAAATGAAAATATCAAAGAATGTGAAAAGTATCTTGTGAAGTCTTAAATTACAGGATTGTTGCTATCAGGGAAATTTTTTTTAAAGTGCAATTCCCCAAACTTAATGTAGTGATTTATTTATGCCACAAAGATGTTAAGCCTAGCTTTCATAGTTTGTATGTGAGAGGACTGTAGAGAAAAGTACCAAATATTAATGCATATTTAGATAGAGCCACTTTGAAGACAGGGGACAGAAAGTTAGTTGTGAGAAGTCAATATCAATTTTCTCATTCAAATGAGCCAAACTATGGAAAGTCTTTTTTGAGCTTTCTAAATATTTGCTTGTTTTACAATCCAACTTGGTATTTAAAGATCCAAAAGACTTGAGAATTCTTCTGGTGGAAAAGTCAAGGGAAATATACTAATATGTAGTGTTCAAATCAGTCCTATATAAATAGCATTTTGAAAAATCACTGATTCTCATGGATCACTTTCATGAATCATCTCCAGAGTTGTAGGAATGTAAAATGTTTTCAAAAGAAAGAACATTTAGCAATTTGGGGTAGCCGCAAACTCTATGATACTTGAAATAAGAAGGTTTGGCTCTCATTCAGATAAGAAGTAAAACTATATATCAACCTACCAACACTTAAACTTTGTAAGGTTAGGACCTAATTTGATATATTGAACAATATTTAAATAACATCAATATTAATGAATATTAGTTACATCATACATTTTTTTCAACTTAAACTTTTTAACATAAGCAGGAAAAAGTGACAGAGGAAAAGTGACAGAGACAATGAAAGAGAACACAGAAGACCAAATGTACTTGAAAAAAGAACAAGCTGCTACCCCTTGTTTTCAGTGATATATGGGTTTCTGTCCTCCATGTGCTCAGTATACTGGGATATTAACCATTCTTAGCCCCTCCAATAGACCAAGATCATTTATAATAAGTGTTTTCATCACATAAATAATCACATATTCAGCTACAAATGGCAGAGATCCAAAAAAACACACTAGACTGTTATTAATATATTTTCCTTTGTTTATGCTTCAGTGCTTTTGGCACACAAGGAATTATCTATGCTTCTCAGACCATTTAGCTTTATATAAAAATTCCACTTCAATGCATAAACAGTGGCATGCCAGAGATGCCTAATTCACAAAGTTTAGGGCTACTTGTTATCAAAAGCTGTGAACATGCAAGTTGGTTAAGTGTTCTCTTTCATGCTCCTGTCTGTATTATTTCATTAGATAATGAGATGGGCTGCCCTTTCTGTCCATCACTAGAGCAGCTGGAGACAGCATTTGCTACCTGGCAAAACTTTCGAAGAAGGATCTTTCTTAGCAGCAGATAAACCCAGGGATCCAAGATCTGGTTCAGTGAAGCCAGGCGAACAGCTATTAAGAAGAAGTTGCATTCTTTCTGCTTTTCTGTCTGCGTTTTGCAATGCTCAACAGATGTCTCGTTGAAGATCATATTCAACATCATTATCTAAGAAAAAAGGACAGATAATTGTTCCAAAGATTAGTAAGGTCAGACCCATCTCCTCTACACAGTATGCAGCACATATTGGGCTTTCTATTTTTTTCTAGGCACATAATATTTATTATCTGTTCTTTTACAGAAAAAGCTTATGAAACTCTACAGGAAACAATACCCAACATTTCACAACTAGAACACCCAGAAATCTCTCTTACTTATTTACATATCTAGAACAATTTTCCTGACAATAAATTTCTTTTTTTTTTTTTTTTGGCTTGAGACATTCAGTTTTCAGCTTGTTGTTGTTTGAAGTAAAACAATACATACTAAGTAAAATAAATGTGGATTAAAATATTTAAGTGTTAGAAATGAGTAAGAGATAATTTTGTGATAGAAAATTGTACAAAATCTTAGTTGGTTCATCCCTAGCACTGCCAAAAAACTACAACAACAACAACAACAACAAAATCATTCAAAATACTTTCTTGGTATGAAAATTAGCCCTAAGATGTTTGCTTTTACAAGTTGATACCACTAGATAAGCAGTAAAACAATGTGGGATTCTTCTGCCCCCCGAAACATCTGCATAACAATGAAATTATCTTCAGAGACTAGACTTTCCTAACAGACCAAGATATTTAGCATCTCTGATGCTTAAAAGTCAACGTGGCTGGATATCACCCTCCAGGTCATCTTGATTTGGGGTTGGGATGAGAGGGAGGCTTGTAAACTTTATCCTAACTATTAATCAGGTTTTCTTATGTAAACTACTAATACTCTTTCCAAGTTTGCACTTCCCTTGTAACTCAAAGTGCTAGTGTTTTCATATATTGGGTTTTCAATAAGTTGGTTGGTAAATGGAAATGATTAAATCAGGGAACATTTCCAATCTCCGGACACAGCCCTGAGTTATACAAGACGCTCCTAAGGATTTTCCCACATTTTTGGATATTTGACACAATGCAGCTTTTTAAAATGTAGAATACATTTTAATATGTTTAAATATGTTCCTATGCTTGGTCCTTAGAATTAAGAAGCTTGGAAATAACACATCTTGGAATTAACCAAATTCATCTGTCTTGTTGCAAGAAACACCTACTGGTTGTTTTTTTTTTTTCTTTTTTGCTGACACCCAAATAGGAGCCAACGCTCCCATAATAATCAAAATGCATTTTGACTTAAATGTCAGTAGTTTTAACTAAAAACAAGTCACTGACAAAAAGCAGAAGAAAAGGAAAAATAATAATCATGTTATCAATATTATTACATTAACATTTTCTACATCTAATTTGCCAGGGACCATGTCAAATTCTTTATATGTTAGCCGGGCATGATGGTACAGGTCAGTAATCCCAGTGGCTTGGGAGGCTGAGACAGGAGAATCACAAATTCAAAGCCAGCCTCAGCAACTGCAAGGCACTAAGCAACTCAGTGAGAACCTGTCTTTAAATAAAATACAAGAAATAGGGCTGGGGATGTGGTTCAGTGGTTGAGTACAATCCCCAGTACCAAAAAAAAAAATTTTTTCATATGCATTTAATTAATAGTATAAAATAGGTGCTATTCCTACTTTCTTCTTATAGTTGCAGAAGCCAAGATTCAATGATGTGAAAGGCTGAGCCAAACTCAAATATAAGTTCACTAGTACATATGACATGTAGTGTTTTACAATTTTGTTTTTGGTCTCCCTCCACATACTAGACTAAACTCATGGCAGGAATTTAGGACTAGTTTTCCCCCCACTAGTATATTCCTAGTGCCTAGACCAATATTCAATGCACAGTAGGTGCTCAATAAATGAAATGTAAATGAATAAATGTTTATACTTGAAGGAATATATTATGTGACACATGTACGAGAATATAACATTACATGACAAATTTATTTATTTAAATATAAATTATATTTACAATAATACTTATGAATGAATATTTGTGATTTTCACAAGAGAAAAAATGTATATAAGATGTTCAAACTCATTAATCATCAGAAAAATGCAAATTATGACAAAATAAGTCATTCTATACCCACTAGGTCGACCTCAATGAAGACAGGCTACCATATCATATGTTAGTGAGGGTGTGGAGGAAGGACCACCCTGACACACTAACAGTAGGCACGTAAACTGGAGCAGCGATTTAGAAAACAAGCTGGCTGTTTCATCTGAGACCTGCCAGCAATGCCACTCCTCCGCCTATACTGTCCCACCTCTCTGCTCCAGAAGTTGTGTATAGGACTGTTCCTAATAGCACTACTCATGATAGTCACAGGGCAGGCACAACCCCAACATGCATTCATGTTCACAAGCATGCAAAGGAGCTGCCTTTTTTTAAATAACTATTTCCTAAATTTACCTTTCTTCACCTACACAGCTACTGAGTACTTACAGTATGGCTAGAGCACAGTGAGAAGTTGGAACTAGCAACATTGATGATTTGGTGAATGATACAACTTTGCACATATTATGTTAAATAAAATGTATATTATTGAAATTAGTGTAACTTGTTTACTTTTTTAATGTCTCTGTAGAAAGCTTAAAATTAAATACATGCCTTGCATTTGTAGCTTATAGTACTTTCGTAGGAGACCCAATCTCTCTCCTAGGGCTCACACTTCTGTAGATGTTCTGCCCCCATATCCCAAATGGATTCCAGGATTCCTGAGCATTAAAACACCCCCAACCATACACTCCCAACAATGGCCCTTCCTTTCTTCCATCTCAGGCTCCACACTTCAGAATCATCATTGAATTTTTCAATGTCTCATCTTCTGTGATGCCTTTTGTGACATTCTTATCTTAGTTAGGATCCCTCCTCTCATTTGAATTAGAGCAGTGACAGACACCTATGTGGTGCATGCAATGGAATGAGTGCTTGTTCCACCAGAATCCACATGTTGGAGTCTTATGCCCAGTGTGATGGTGTTAGAGGTGGGGCTGTGAGGAGGTAACCAGGTTCAGATGAGGTCTTGAAGGTGGAGCCCCCATGATGGAATCAGGGTCCTTAGAAGAAGATGGAGAGAGATCAGAGCACATTCCCTCTGCCATGTGAGGACAGCCAGAAGATAGCTCTCTGCAAGCCATAAAAAGGGCTGAAATCAAATCAACCAGCCCCTTGATTGTGAACTTTCCAGACTCAGTACTAGGAGGAATAAGTGTTGTTTAAGCCATCCAGTCTATGGTGTTCTTTTATAGCAGTCTAAGCAGAAAAGACAGTGCATATAGATATTAAGCCATCAGATTCAGCTTCTTAACCCTAGCTCTGACCAAATCCTCTCCAACTATAAAAATGTCAATATCCTCCCAATGTCCACAAAACAGAAATTTAACTCTGGTATTTAAAGACGTTTAAGTTACTAATTCAACGTATCTTTTCAGATAGTCAGATTACCACAATACCTGACAAAATTATCATTCTAGAAACAAGAGGGGATCCAGTGGGCAACCAGTGGTCAACCATATATTTTGACACTGTGATTTCACTTATGGGAGTTTTTCCAAGCAAAAATTGTTACACAGCTAAAAAAATGTCCAGGGCTTGAATTGTGGCTCAGTGGTAGAGTGCTTGCCTAGCATGCACAAGGCACTGGGTTCGATCCTCAGAACCACATAAATGTAAAATGAAGATATTGTGTCCACCTAAAACTTAAGAATAAATATAAAAAATAAAAAATAAATGTTTAAAGAAGCATTGTCTATATTTGTAAGAAACTGTAAACACATGTATCTCTAACATAAACGTAAAGCTTAATAAAGGACAACTGATTCATGTAAGAGTTTATATAAGAATTTATATGAAAGAACAGTTTATACCATAGTATGATATATGAAAATTTTTATTGGTATTACAATTATATTGTGTAAAATAGATTTTGGAAAGGAATGGAATTATTGAAAAATGATTTATTACTAAACAAAAGTCAATAGGTTAATTTAAAATTTCATGTACATGAAAGCATTTTATGTGATCTAAGGAAATCTTTTCCTTATAGAAGGTGAATAATTATTCCTTCTGTTAATTAATATTCACTACTGTATATCATATTTACTTAAATTATTTCCTTTAATATCTTCTGATGTTGACTCATACTCCTGTGGACTGAGTACTACTACTTACTGTAGTTGGAAAAGCAAGCAAAGTAATGTACCTTCTCCTCCAGAGATATTCATTTTTTAGTTTCTGGAACCTAGAATATAGTACTGTACATGGTAGAAAAGACTCTGCAGGTATGAAGAAGGATAAAGACCATGAGATGAGACATTATCCTGGGTTTTCTGGGTTGACCCCATGTAATCACATGGGTTGTTAAAATGGAAGAATCTTTGCCAGCTGTGGTCTGAAGGAGATACGACCACAGAATAGTCAGAGGAATGCAATGCTGCTAGTTTTGAAGATGAAGATGGGGAGCCAGGAGTGAAGGCGTACAAGTGAACTCCTCTAGAAACTGGAAAAAGCAAGGAAAGTGTTCCGTTAAAGCCTCTGGAGTGTAATGCAGCCATGTGAGCTCAACACTTCTGACCCAGACTTCTGACCTATAGAACTGTAAGAGAAATTACTGGGGATTCTAAGCTACCAAAAGAGTAGCAATTTTAACAGTAGCAATAGAAAACTGATACACCCATGTGCTGAGCTCCAATAAATATCAAGGGAATGAGAGGGAATAATCTTGCAAATTATTTGTTCTCTCTCCCAAATAAAACATCCTAGCAAGTCTGTTTACATTCTTCACTTTCTTAGGAAACTTTATTTAAAAATATATAAAAAAAAATTAAAAGCAAATTTCTCATCCAGCACCCATCTTCATTATCTTAATTTCTCAATTTGCAAGATGCAAAAATCAATGCTTCTTAATCCAGTGTCATTTAGTGAGATTTCACTGTATTTAACTAAAAAGTACAAAGTTACTACTTTTCAACTCAGTTGTCTTTATTGCAAAAAGCATTTATTCATTAATCTTTTTTTCTTTGTTTCATAACAATTTCAAAAGTTTTGCCTAGCTTTTGCCTTACT